TTTGAGAGCGAGCTTGGCCGGACCCCCCCAGCCTCTGCCCCCGTAGCAATCAGGGCCTGAAGAAGCGTCGTACCACTAAATGCCCCACCATGACCAGGGTCACCACCACCAGCATGTACTTCATGTAAACATTGTCCAGCTCGAGCGCAGCCACCTAACGGGAAACAGAGAATAACCAGAGGGTGTTAGATCTGCCTGGGCCGGCTCGCTGCTCTGCCTGCGCCCGGGTCACCCCACCAGCCGCAGCAGTGCCATAGTCCCCAGGGCTGCACCTTCCACCGGCCGGAGCACGTCTGCCTCCCCTCGCCCCCAAATCCCCCCCCGGAACAACCCTGCGCTCCCGCCGGCTCACCCATCCTCCCTGCTGGGCGATCCATTGGGCGATGCGGTTCCGGAGCATGAACTCGGCGACGTAGCGAGCGATGCGGCAGAGGAAACCCGGTATGCCGTGCTGATAGACGTGGATGGCCATGCGGTAGCCAAAGCCCAGCAGCGCAATCACCCGGCCCCAATTAATGCCGCTCTCGAACAAGCTGAAACAAAGCCGATGGTCATTTTAAATCTCTGCCATGGCTGGCTCAGACCTCCCTAGTCTCTGCATCCCGGGTTGCGGGCTCTGGAGCAGCGCTGGTTGCGGAGCAGGGCTGGGGATGCTGCACTTGTCCTCGAGGCGCATCCCAGCCACGCAGACAACCTAGTCACTTTGTGGCTAAGCGACACGTGGCCTCCATTGGAAAGCACACCAAGAGGTGCTTTCAGAGCACAACAAACGTGGTCTCGGTCACAGCAGCTGTTGGCCTCAGCCAGGGGGGTGAGGGATGTCCAAGGGAAAAGGAAATTGCCAAATCCTGCCTACACAGCTACAGGCTCTGAATCGCTGGAGTGGAAGCTTTGATATAGAATTGTAAAATGGTTTGGGTTGGAAGGGACCTTAAAGATCATCTAGTCCAACGCCCCCCCACCCCGGGCAGGGACACCTCCCACCAGCCCAGGTTGCTCCAAGCCCTGTCCAACCTGGTGTGGTGGTTGTTGACCTGCCACTCTCCGGCCCGTCCTGCCTTTCCCTCACATCTCCCCCCAGACGCAGGACGCAGCGGCTGCCCGGAGGGCCTGTGCTTTCTTGGCCAACGTTATTGACCAGGGTAAGCTGGAGGTGGTGGTGGTTGAAGCCGTCAGGCTGCAGCAAGACCTCCACGTGCCAACAGGAGCAGGAACTGCCACCCACCTGTCCCAAAGCATCCCTTGCCTGTGCCTGGAGGTCAGGAAGTTTAAATCTAAGCAAAAAGCAAGTTAGGACAGGATTTTCCCTTTTCCTGCATAGGCAAACCTCTCCAAGACCAAAACCTGATCTACTCTTGCCTTAGACTGATACTCCCAAGGGCTGGGGGGGCTCCAAAATGTGCCCAGTCAATGCTTCTGCCCCAATCCAGGTTTTGGTTGCTGTGGGCACAAACTGCATCACTGTCTGCAGGTCTGGCACTGATTTCTCTAGACCAGTTTTTGAAGTTGGTGGTTTTTTTCTTGGTTTTCAGCAAGGCAAGCAAGAAGGAAAAAAAGGGTAAAGATAAAAAGAGCAGACTCCGTCCCTGTGTTTTAATCTTGTGCCCTGTTTTTAGACTGGATATTAGGAAGAATTTCTTTACTGGAAGGGTCATCAGGCACTGGAACGCGTTACCCAGGGCAGTGGTGGAGTCCCCATCGCTGGAGGTATTTAAGGGTCGTGTAGATATAGCGCTCAGGGACATGGGTTAGTGGTGGGTCGTCAGTGTCAGGTTAATGATCGGACTAGATGATCTTACAGGGCTTTTCCTATCTAGGAGATTGTGTGATTCTGTTCCTGGTGGTCCCTGTCTGCAGAGACGAAGGGAACTGTCTTCTCTGCAGAACCTTGGCGTGGAGCTGCCACCACGCAGGCGGCAGAGGGAGAGGGAAGTTAGAGCCCGTGAAGGGACAACAGAGAAACAGGTAGCACAAAGGGAGAGACAGAGGTTAATTTACCTGTTTGCGGCGCGTTAACCGCCTCAGGCTGGCAAAGTGGTGAAAACAGCGCAGCAGTGGCTTCCCGAGGAGAGGGGAGCAGGAAGAGGATAGAAGAAGAGGCAGTTAGACAACAAACACCGAGCGGAGGGTGCACGGGGACGGGGCTGCGCCGGAGCCAGGCATGGTCGGAGGATCAATGGGAGCCTGGGACCTGGGGACCCAGACATCCCGGCGTCTTTCCTGGCACTGCCAGAAGTCTTCTGCATGACCCTGGGCAACCATGTAATGTGCCTAGTGTCTTGGTTTACCTACAGACAGAGCGTGGTGAGGACTGAACCCCTTGACGGCCACCTCGATCCAAGGCTGTACCTCAGGCAATCAGGGCAGTAAGTTGGCCACGTGTTTGCCTTCGCTCTTCGCCCTGTTGCTGTGCTCGGAGTTGGGGGCGCATCGCCTGCGCAGCTCTGTGGAGCATCCCCCATCCTGTGTCAGTCCGATCCCGTTCCACGTGGACCGCGCCAAGGGCAGCGAGTGCTTGCCCGGCCCCGCAGCTGCCTGCGCTGTGTGCCTCTGACACCCTCACTCATCGGGGCTTCCCAGCTCTCGAGCAAGCAGCAGTGGGACCAGCAGCAGGTCTGCCTTGGTCCAGGGCTGGTTGCAGCCCTGGAGAGGAGCTGGGACATTCGCTTGGCTACTGATGCACGGGCCACCCTTCCCAAGCACGTCCCCCAAACTTTTTGACCTCGGTCAGCTTGTGCAAGGACCGCGAGATGATTGTCAGGTGAAGACTGTGCAGACAGCATGCAAGAGGAAGAGCAGACAGGCAGAAAACACAGGAACCATCAAGGTGAGCTTGTTGGGACCTCAACCCAGGGACGGTGGGTGAAGGTTGGATGGACAGGGTCTGTGTGCTGGGGCAGAGCTGGGCAGGCAGCTGCACCGGGGTCGGGGCAAGGGTTTAACTGGTGGCATTGCACCCCGTTTGACCTCTCCTTCCCTGGTCGTCTCCAGGAGAAGGCATCCAGCCTACGCTGAGGGAGCCCGTGGTCTTACCTGGAGGCTATTCTGGTGAAGTGCTCATAGGCGTTCTCCTTGGTGGGCTGCAAGGATTTCAGCATGTTGCGAAACTCTGCGTCGTACCGCTCGTTAATGTCGTCACCGATGATGGCCAGGCGCCTTCCCACCTGGCTCCCAGTGCTGCTGAGAGGGAAGACGGCGTTACGGACAGGTCAGCAGGACGGAGGGGTGGGTCTGTAATGGAGCCTGGCTCGGGATGGGGTCGAGGGACGTGCATGCGGTTGGTATCAGTTTTACCTGCCCAGCTCCTCCTCGATCTCCACGATCTCTGGGTCCATGGGCACCTCCTCTCCTCTCTCCTCTCTCTCCTGTTGGTAGCGGTAGAAGGCATAGCTCCGAAACACCACTTCTGTCTCCTCCACCACCTGGTCTTCTAAGAGAGACAAGCGGAAGAAAAGTCAAGGGAGCAGCTCGTCTCCCCCCTTTGCCAAGTGGAAAGAGACCATTCCTTCATTTTCAGCCTAAATTTATGCTGTCTGTATTAACTCTGGCCCTTTGCAGTAAAACGAAAAGAATCCAACAAAAATTAGTTCTGAGGAAAATAATTTTGAAGCCAGTCTTTGTTCTTAGGGGCACAGGCCCACCTTTTGAATCCATTTTTGGCAAGAGACAGCTCCGGGACTGTCACAACACAAACCAGATGTTCAAGCGCTTGCGCTTGGCAGCTCTCTCCGCGCCACAGCCCCTCTCGGTAAGGGCATTGCTCAGCACAAACAAGTTCAGGAATCTCAGATCCGAACCCAAACTGGAAGCAAAGCTCCGTCTCGCGCTGCCCATCGACCCTCAGCCACCAATCTCATTTTTCAGTGTCACAGACGATCGCGCCCTTGCACGGCGTCAGCAATGACGCGGAGAGCAAAAGTTAGATTAGTTGTTTGAGTATAATTCCTTGCTGATTCTGTCGCACATCACTGGTCTCCCGTACGCCCACCGGCCCGGCAGTGGTGATGCCGGGGCTGGGTTTGCAACACCTGCCGGTGCTGCTGGCAGCAACAGAAAGGAGAAGAAATTTTGAATAACTCATAAACCCTAACCCAGATTGGTGACTCGCCATCCTGCGCTCGAAAGCGGATAAACACCCAGGGGAGAAGTCGGAACTGACCGCCTGCTCCAGCACCCCCGTCGCCGCCGGGCGAGGGGAGGCACCCAAATCCCCCGCTTCGCTGACAAATACCCGTGGAGGCAATAAGCCCGTTGCACGGGGAGCAGGAGGCTGTCGTGGGGGGAGGTTTCGGGTGCCACAGCTTCCTTCCTTCCCTCGCTCTCGTAAACAAGCAGGGCTCGGCACGGCAGGTATTCAGGGTTCGGCAGGGGAACGCGGCCGTGCGGTAACGTCACCCGGCCCCGACAGCACGTGAAAACCGACCGGGCTCCGTGCGGGCGGGAAGCGAGACAGAAACAGCCAGCGTCGATAAGCGCCTGCCTCTCTGAGAACGGCTCAGCTCCAGACCCCCACAGCACGTCCCCTGTCCCCACGCTGCTCGGGGAAGAGCAAGGGTCTGGCCGTGGCCGGGACCTGCCCCCTCGGGAGCAGGGAGCCCCCGGCGAGGCGTTTCAGTCCCGTCGGTCCCACGGTGACCGATACCTTATCACACGCGTTACATTGGTCCTGGGGAAAGTACCCGGTCTGTCACGGGATGTCTCTGATTAGAGCTCGGTTTCAGCTGGCTCGAAAAGCAATCCGGGCTGGAGCACCGGTTCCCAAACAGCCCAGCGGAGCCCTCCCCGCTGGCTCTGAGGTCCTGCTAACACAGTTCTGCCTGGTTTATTTCCTAAGATGCAAAATTCATAGGGGATGGAAACGGTACGGATGGATCAGAGCGCTGCTGCTTTGACAAGGGTATCACCCTTCAGGGTGGACATTCACAGAGGTTAAGTGAGGAGCAAAGCTCAGGTCAATGGGCGACCCGGGGGGATGTCAGACGCGCAGGACCCTGCGGACCTGTGGCTTTAGGTGACCGTCCTGCCAGGCGTGCTGCTGACCGGCGGCAGGTCGGCACATCTGCACCACCAACGCCGTCTACAGTGGTTAACACTGCAGCCAACCCCGCTAAAACCCTTTCCCAGTATATCCCAGTATATCCACCTGCCAGCACGGCCAATGCTATTCTCCGGCCACTGGAAATTGCGTTTCCAATGTGGAGATGCTCCTGCCCGAGGGCTGGGATGTGAGGACCTGGCCTGGTGGACACAACTGTCCTGGCAACACCGCTCCATAAAACCTCCTATCCAGGTCTCCAAAACATGCCACACCGCTCCTCGCAGAGTTTTTCTGGATGGTCACATCCATGTGGCCCACGTGGGGCTCCGGGGAGATGGGTCCAGTGCTGGATGGGGTGTGGGGCAGGAAGAGGACCTGGCGTGAGGAGACTCAGGTTACGTGGAGTTCAGGTTGGGTAAATAAAGGTGAAGGGAAATGACGAGCCCTGGTTGCTGTGTTTTCAGGGGATTGTTTTTTCTTTTGCGGGAAGGGGTTTATTTGGCGGTAAAGAAATCCCACCTCCCAGAGGAGCCGGGGGAGCCCATGACCGCTCCACCGAGAGCCCGAAAACGAAACTGACTGACTCACAGTTTCAGCGAGAGGCCGGGTAAACACTGCGAGGACAAAAGAGGAAATAAGTGTACCAAAAAATTCCCTGCTTTTAATTACCCCAGGCGCTATTTTTAGTAACACAAGGACAGGAGAACACGCATCTTTTTTTTCCCCCCAGGTGCAAACCTACTGGGACCATCTCTGGGTCTCTCCCAGTCAAAGGGAGAGGATGTGGATCAAGATTTGCCTTGTGGACTCCCAGTACCAGCAGCAGAGAGGGGGGAGAGCAGTTTGGAGCCCCTCTGGGATCTTTGGGCTCCGTGTGGGATCGTCGGGGCCGCTTTAAGGGGCTGTGAACCCCCACACTGCAAGGGAGGACCTGCTCCGCTTCTGCTTTACGGAGCAGCAACCCTGTCATCCTCAGTCCCACGCTCACCCTCAGCATCTACACCAGACCTACCCCAACCACAGCCTCTTGCCTGGATCCACCCCGTAGACAACGTTGACCGGACCCCAGCCAGTCTCAAACACGCCACATCTGCATTTCTGTGCGAGGTCCTTCATTTCTCACTGTTCCCATCTCCCAGAGAGCAGCTGTGCTACGGCTCAAAACTGGCAGGTCTCACCAAAGTTATCCGTCAGACCTTGTTACAACTCAATAGCGCTGCTACAGACTGTGATAGTGACAGACGCAACCTGGCAGCATCCCTTTCGAGCTCAGGAGACAGGCAGTAAGTGCGCTGAGAGGTGCATCTCTTTGCACAGAGGGAGATATCCAGCCTGGAAACAGCAACAGGCTCTGAAGAGAGCAAACAGCTCCGGTCTCCGGAGATTTCTGCCTCGAGGGGAAGCTCAGCTCCACCTCACGGCAGTTGCAATTCAAGCGTGGGATGAGCAGTAGCTGCCTTAATGGATTTGGGTTGGCTTCCACCGGGTAAGGCAGCCCCTTGGGAATCCTATCACCTGCCAACAGCGATGCCACCCAGGATCAGAGGCTGATCAACCTGACCCTGCGTCATGCCGGCATCACCCTGCACAGAGCTTCTAGACAGGGAAATGGAAAACTCCCGTCCCACCCAAAAGAGGAGCAATATTCCATGGGGTTGGACTAGATGATCTCCAGACGTCCTTTCCAACCTTGACCATTCTGTGATTCTCAAACAGCCTCCCCGCAGAGCTAACGGGCAAACGCCCCCGGTTTCAAGACAGAAATTCATCTGTCAATAAGGGAGAGTCTCTGGTCCAGATTCTGGACTGGACCCAAGAAACCTGCTTTAATTCTTACCTTCAGTGGTGTCCCACCAACACACCCAGAGTTACGGGCTCGCGGCAGGGCTGGGGGCTGCAGCAAGGTTTTGCTCTGGCACTTTGCTGCCCATGCTGAGCCCTGTCCCATATCTACCGACCTGCAAAGGGAGGCTGGGCGAGCGCCCCGCGGCATGCCCGAGGTGGGTTTGCATCTCAGCTCTGGCAATGCATCTCCCTCTGCCCCATCAAGGTTCTCATAAAAGATTTTCGGGGGCATCCTTTGCAGGCCAGAACAAAGGAGTCACGAGGCAATTCCATCGCATTTTTCCCAGCACACAGCCATCGGAAGGATGACTTTTTTTTTTCTTTTAAAAACAGAAACCACATACTGATGGGAGATGCAGTTCAATGGGAAGTCCAATACTCTGCGTCTGTGCTGGAGATAGGAACTGCGTGCGAACCAGACAAGAGAAAAGTATGTTTAAATGGTTTTGGTTGCTCTACAGAATGTATGAGAACCCACCCAGGCTTAAACAGGCAGCTCACATTTTTCCTACTCATTTTGCAAGGGGTCTTGGCAATGAAGACATGGAGATGCTCACAGTTGTATGACTACCGTCCTTAAGCAACTCTTTATCAGTTCATGGCTTGCTTCACGTGCAACGTTAAGTCCAGAGCTAAGACAAACAACCGCGGACCAAATCTGACACCTCTCCAGGTACGTTATGTGAGTGTTAAACACACACAGACGGGTGGGACAGCCCGGGTAATCTGAGGAAGAGAACAGTTGCCAATGTGACGCTGCAAACTGTGAGGTGGAGTGGCTGCGCTTTCCAGGCACAGCCCCGGCACCTCGGACATCCTCGCAGAGACTCGCATCCCGTCTCTCTCCGCTTCCCGAGCAGTAATAAGCAGATATAGCGATACATCACCTTTCTCCACAAAGCGCTTCGGGATTCCAGCTAACGTGGTGCGCACGGGAGCTAAGCGTGACCACGTGAATGATATTTTCACCGCGTGGCCTTGCCCCTCTGCAGCGCCGGGGAGCTGGGCTGCGTCTGGCACGGTTCCCTGCGAGCGTGAGGACAGCCACCTCCATGGCTCGTCCCACGGATCTGAGCCTCGATGGGATTACCCAAGCCATTCCTGTGGCTGTGTGCGTGCCCTGGCAGCACAACTGAACGGGGCAGCGCTGCCACCCCCATGATGTAGACGGCAACCGAAGGAGGGTAAGGTTAATTTGCTGAAGTACGAGCCCTGTTCCCTCAGCTCAGCTCAGCATCCTTGGTGCTGCGCCTCCCACCCCTTTGCATGGCTATTTATGAACTAAATTGCTGCTCCTTTTCATTATGTACAGCCGACAGTACGAAGCTCCTGCCTTCATCTACAACACCCTAAGAACACCACAAGCACAAATCGCCGCCCAGCCCAGACAGAAACGGCAGCATCTCCTCCATGCCCAAAGCAACGGCGGTAGAACAAGGACTCAGAATGATCATAGAATCATAGAATGGTTTAGGTTGGAAGGGACCTTGAAGATCATGGAGTTCCAACCCCCCTGGGCAGGGACACCTCCCACCAGCCCAGGTTGCTTGATGCTCAAGCAAACCCCAGAGCAGCAGGTAAATCTCTTCGCTCCCTACCGCATCCAAAGATAAACAGAGGAAGCGAGCCCTGAAGGAAAACCAGGCTTCATACCTGTTGACAAAAGCCGCCTTCTGCCCCGTAATCCCACCGCACGTCTTGGTGGAAGCTGCACATTTCTGCTTCCACTGGAGTCCATGAGGCTTCTGCCTAAGAGGCGTGCAGAGGTCCCACCTCCAAACTCCAGACGGACCCCTCTGAGTTTTGGGAAGCAGAGGGATGCCGGTACTGCCGGTAAATGTTTGCAAGTGTACAGGAAGCACGACTGTAAAACGGTGTGGTTAGAGCTCAGGGCCCGATCCTCTCACTGGTTTTCACATCAGCATCTCATTGGCCTCAACAGGAAATCAGCATATGTAAACAACTGCTCTTATTTATTTATTTTCATACCTTGTAGACTTTGGTAAGGGAAGGACAGGGTGTTTTTGCTCCCAATGTATTCATGCAGGATCTAGCACGAACGGGACTCTGAGGTGGAGAGGAGTCCAGGCAATACCAGCGTATAAATAACATTATCAGGCCAATAAACCAGCTCTGAGCTGGCGCTCAGCTCCAACACAGAGACAGTTAGGGATAGCTTCTAATCTCCATTATTGACAGAGCTGCAGTGACTCAGCCTTATTTACAAGTCCACCTGCAAAACAGGTTAAGAAGTCACCCGTGTTTAACAGCTTTCTATGCAGCAGCATTTTATCATTTTGGGATGAAACAGGAGCTGAGGTTTTTCCCAGGTTCCTTTCGGCCCCGTTCCCAGTTTCACCCATTAGTGTGAAACGCAATTACACAGTCTGCTGGGTTCGGCACACACCAGAAACGGACTGAACCGCTTCTGTGAGCGTGAGCCGTAATTTTTCATCGCTGCTATGTCACGGCACCACCGGAGGCCTGACTCCATCCAGCGGCCGACGCAGCAAGACTGAAACCAACCGTTTGAGACCAGGCGCTGCTCGCCAAGGCAGGTTTTTCTGTGCGTTTTAAGCATCAAACACCTTTTGCTCGCGTGTTCTTGGGGAAGGGAAAGTAAATGACACCAGGAACCAGCCTCACATCTCGCAGCCAGCCGGGTGCCCCCGCTACGCCTGCCTGCACGGAGCCGCCAGTGTACCCCAGAGCAGCACCTCCCCGCACGCTGTTTTCTCCGTTCCCTTCGAGCCCCTCCTGCTGCCCACCACGCTCATCCAATGCCAAACATCTCCCAAAAGCATTGACTGCGTGATCTCCCAGTTTGATTCAGCATAACTTTGCGGAACTGATTTGTTATCCCGGTCTTGCAAAGGGCCCTGGGGCTGTGAGAAAACCCCGTCTTTTCAAAGAAAACATAGCAGGGGAGAAGAGAAGAGAGGGAGAAGAGAAGAGAGGGAGAAGAGAAGAGAGGGAGAAGAGAAGAGAAGAGAAGAGAAGAGAAGAGAAGAGAAGAGAAGAGAAGAGAAGAGAAGAGAAGAGAAGAGAAGAGAAGAGAAGAGAAGAGAAGAGAAGAGAAGAGAGGGAGAAGCGAGGGAAGAGAAGAGAAGAGAAGAGAAGAGAAGAGAAGAGAAGAGAAGAGAAGAGAAGAGAAGAGAAGAGAAGAGAAGAGAAGAGAAGAGAAGAGAAGAGAAGAGAAGAGAAGAGAAGAGAAGAGAAGAGAAGAGAAGAGAAGAGAAGAGAAGAGAAGAGAAGAGAAGAGAAGAGAAGAGAAGAGAAGAGAAGAGAAGAGAAGAAGAAGAGAGGGAGAAGAGAGGGAGAAGAGAGGGAGAAGAGAGGGAGAAGAGAAGAGAGGGAGAAGAGAAGAGAGGGAGAAGAGAAGAGAGGGAGAAGAGAAGAGAGGGAGAAGAGAAGAGAGGGAGAAGAGAAGAGAGGGAGAAGAGAAGAGAGGGAGAAGAGAGGGTTGAAAATGCTTCCTCCCCCAAATCTCACAGCAAGCTTTTTACCTGAGTTGCGCTCCTGTGACAGCCTGCGCCCGTTGCTCCCCCGGCGTCCGTGGGCCCTCAGTGGGTCACCGTCGTTCCCTGAGGCCATCGCAGAGAGGTGCTCGGGAGTATCAGCTTTACCTGCAACGACAAGAGACGGTAAGTGACCCAGGTGATGAGCCACCAACGGGGACACCGGAGCCTCGCAGCTCCCTCACCCACCTCCCAGGTCAGCCTTCGGAACCCCCTTTGGCTGAGCCAAGTGCTCAAGAGGAGCGATGCCGCCCGCTTTTACCTCTGCCCGCGACCTGGCTCCTCCCTTCCCCGATTCCCGGCCACATCAGGTCCCTGGGCCAGATTTTTTCTCTCTTCCTGACTCTTCTCAGTAATGTGTTTGTGGAGAGACCGCATCTGGAGTACTGTGTCCAGTTCTGGGCTCCCCAGTTCAAGAAAGACAGGGATCTGCTGGAGAGGGTCCAGCAAAGGGCAACGAAGATGATTAGGGGATTGGAACATCTCTCCTATGGAGAAAGGCTTAGGGACTTGGTTCTCTTTAGTCTAGAGAAAAGAAGATTGAGGGGGGATCTTATTAATACATACAAATACTTAATGGGAGGATGCCAGGGGGATGGGAGCAGTCTTTTTTCAGTGGCGCCCAGTGATAGGACGAGGGGTAATGGGCATAAACTTGAACATAGGAAGTTCCATCTTAACATGAGGAGGAACTTCTTTACTTTGAGGGTAGTGGAGCACTGGCACAGGCTGCCCAGAGAGGTGGTGGAGTCTCCCACTCTGGAGACATTCAAAACCCGCCTGGACGCTGGCCTGTGTAACGTGCTGTAGGTGACCCTGCTCTGGCAGGGGGGTTGGACTAGATGATCTCCAAAGGTCCTGTGTAACGTGCTGTAGGTGACCCTGCTCTGGCAGGGGGGTTGGACTGGATGATCTCCAGAGGTCCCTTCCAACCCTAACAATTCTGTGAATTCTGTGAATTCTGTGAGAGTCATATGCCTGAGGAGGAAAGTCACACAACTCCTTACCACACTTCACCACCTCCCTACCCTTACTGGGAACCCGCCAGCTCTCCTCCGACCCACCCAGCGGGTGCCACGGGATGGGCTCTTGCTCAGCCCAGACAACAGCAGCATCTGCAGTGGCTTCACGCTGGGATGAAAGCAAAATTCACAGCACAAAGGGTTCTACAACTCCCCCGACTGCACCCGGAGAACGTGGCAGGGAGAGGAGCCGTGGGGCTTTGAAACGCTCCCGAAACACTGCTGCCCTGATGGTTCAGAGCGCGGCAGGAGCAAACCGACCCGCGACCGCACTGAGCGATGGCCCCATTTCTCCCAGCAAACACCTCCGACTTGTTTTCCACAACTTCGGCGAGAGATGAGCTCTCTGTTTTCCTACATCTCCTTCCCCCCGTTCTTTGTGTTTCTTATCCTCAGCTCCTCTCAGAATAAGAAAATTCAGTGAGAACCAAACGCAGAGCTCGTAGTGCCCCCGAACTCCACCGGTACCCTGAACCCGGAGCTGTGCTTGAGAGCTCGTCGCAGCCCTCAGCTCCTTTACCCCTCTGCTCGTTGCTCTGCCCTCACCCCCTGGTTTTTGCAGAGAAGGAAGTGAGGCCACGCAGTTACCGTCAGGGTTAGAGAGAGATCGCTGCAGGTCCTGACCTGTTGTTGGCATGCCAGTACATGTTCCCAGGCCAGACTTCTACAGGGCTAAACTGGTGGGTTTTCTGATTTGCACCCGGTCTAAATTCACGAAGACACATCGACAGCCAGCAATTTAAATTGTGGCGTGGGCCAGAATTTTAAACAGCGCTGGTTATGGATAAATAACCACCTATGTCAAGATCCGAAGTGCAAGACATGGTCCAAGCTTATATCTTCACACTAAAGATTATTCAGATGAAAAAATAAACTGAGACCATAAAGGGTAGTGTAAAGTACAGCCTGCGGCCAAGGTGGGGATGGGGGGCTGGAAATGCAGAGCTTATCAGCCTGGCTTAGAAAGCCATCGGGTATTTGCATAGCTGCGTTCAGGGAGCCTGAGCTGCGGTGACACACAGATGGAGATGCTGTTTTTTCCTATGCCCCTCCGAGGACAGGATTTCCCTTTTCCTCCCCAACCTCAAACGTCCCCATCCAAGGAAAAGCTGAAAACGCGATGAGGATCAGCAGTTGGGACTGAGGGTAAAGCAGGGAGGAGAGCTGGCTCCCGCTTGCCCAGATCAGCAGAGACCGAGCTGCTCCAGAGCCTCTCCTCTCTTTGCTCTTCTCTGCTCTGGGACGTGGTGGAGGGAGCTCAGGGCGTCCTTGGAGCTGATGCTCGTGGCCCCGTCCCCTCCTCCACAGAGGAAACCCTCCTGTGCTTCCTCCGCCGCCATCCCCAGCCCTCCTCGGGCACTGAGCAAGGCTACAGCTCCAGCCCACCTTGCACGGGAAGGGAAGCAGGACCAGACATGGGGCGGCTCTCTGGAGCGCGTGGGTAAGCGAAGCAGTATGGATTTCTACCGCACTTCACGCTGTTACAACCCGAGGATGCACCGAGCGCTGGGGAGGATGGGGACGCATCCAGCCAAAGAGTTCAGCTGCCTCTGGAGCTTTTACGGTTTGGTCTATGGGCGCAACCGGCTGTGTTCCACATCACCCCACTGCCGCTGAGCCAGACCTCAGCCACAAAGAAGAGGGAATTTCTGACGCAGACCTGACCGCTGAGTATGAAGGATGGCTGGTGAGCACAGGAGTGCAGTGCCCAAGAAGCAGCCGACTCGTGATTCTTCACGTTTGCCATCTGGCAAACCCTTAGGAAGCGGCAGGCTGCCACTGCTGCCATCGCTTAAGAGGAACTTTCATTTTCAGTTTCCTTCTCAATATAGTTTCTTGCAGCGCTTTCTTCTCTTGCAACACGGGACACCGCAGCCCTTTTGCACACATGCACATCTGGGACCAGCAGTTACGTCCCCGTCCGCACGTTGCCGCTCCGCAACCTGCTCCCCGGGGAGGACCCTGAACTCCCACTTCTGCAAACCAAGTGAACGCCCAGGAGAGCTCACTGCCAGTCTCTGCTGGGGGTCAAAGTGCCTCAGACCATCCTCTCTGCTATCAGGAGTGCCGCTGCCCTTATTCCTCCTGCTTCCCAGCCCAACGCCCCTTTGATTTGCCCCGTTCCCCTTTTTTTTTATGAGAAAACCATGCTGAAAGAGAGCAGGGAGGGGTGTGAAGGAGGGTATGACATCCATACACTTAAAGACAGCCCAAAGCTGCAGAAAATGAAGACTCTCCAGGACTTGGGCTCAAGAGACGGTTTGGGGGAAGCTGCAGGTTACTGGAAGGAGTGCCTAATTCTCAGCAGCTGCTAAAAATTCAGCTCCATCCTGACTTTTTGCTTTGCAGGAGGCCACAAAGGGTTAAAAGCAGCAGACAGCACCTAGGATGTGGATTTAGCAACACCTCCAAGATGGCACAGGAGTCTTATCTTTACTAACGAGAACATGCCATGCAAAGAATCACCTTCCTGGAACTCGACAGCCTCCCCTAATAAAAAAAAAAAAAAAAAAAGACCTTTGCCTCAACTGTTTCTCATTTCACCTTCATCTCATTTCCATAAAGGTCTCTGACACATTTTCCTGTGTGCCCTTATGATGTGCTCACTACTGCTCCCAACTTTTCTCTGAAGGAAAGTGCCTGGGTGCAGGGAAGACGGTGGGACTGGCCCAGAGAGGGTGGCAGATTTGCAAGCGGCAGGAGGGGAGAGGATGTGCAGGGGCAGCCATAATCCCTACGAACACTCCTGGCTATGGGGCTCTGCAGTCACCCCCCGACAACGTTATGAAGATCCTGTTCCAGGAAGTGCGTGGAGCATCCTCTGGGACGAGTGTTTCACAGGTCTGGCCCTGGTCCCATGCATGGGAGCGATTCCATCACTCAGTGTGCGGGGCAGCTAACCCTCTCCAGCACAGAGATCCCCCAGGGCTCCCGCGCCTGCTGCCATCCCTGCACGGGCACCGCGGATTCAGCCCCGCTCCTCCCAGCCTGGCCAAGAAGAGCAAACAGGTGAGTTTGCCCAGTTTGGGGTTTACCCACCCAGCACAACACCAGGGTCCAGCTGGCCCACGAGCCACAGACATCGCAGCCCCACAACCCCGTGCACCCACGTCCCGGAGGTCCCCGGTGCGGCTGGGCGGGAAGCTGTGCTGACGAGCCTGCAGCGTCACGCGTGCCATGGCCGTGTCTGAGGTCACAGCCCGCAGTGGGGTGAAATGGATGTCACCCCCGCTCCTCAGCGTGGCACAACGCTTCCCACCCCACAGCTCACACCATCCCGTCTACCCTGAACCCCCACACTGAGCGCTGGCTCGGGGATGCCGAGCGCGCCTGTCATCACCGCGACCTCGCGAGAGGGCGAAAAAAATATATAAATAAACACATTTGGAGGAAATATTATTAAATGAGGAAATATGCCCTCTTTGGGGCAACGATCAGCTCGGAGCGAGACCTTCCAGCTCTGCCCCAGCTATGGCACACACCGGAGCGCTGAGATCCCTTTGCGTACTTTACCCTTGTTCACCGGGCGGTGCAGGATGAGGCCCTGCGGCTCCGCACACCCCTCCCGCCTTGCCGAACTCCCCCGGAGCCCACCGGTACCCC